GTTTCCTGCTTCTAATGTATTTGAAGAAAGTTTTATTCTTGGTCTTTACGTTTTTCGCTATATGCTCCTCATATTCCCTTTTTGCCTGCCTGACCACAGACTTGCATTTTATTTGCCATAGCCTGTGTTTTGTTTGATCAGCCTCACTGTGACTAGCTTTCCACTGCTTAAAGGAATCCTTTTTACCCTTTACAGCTTCCATTACTTTGTTTGTTAACCATGCAGGTTTATTCTTATACCTGTTTGTGCCTTTCCTAACCTGCGGAATATATATTTTTTTGAGCTTCTAGGATCATAGTTTTAAATAGTTTCCAAGCTTCCCCAATGGTTTTGACCCTTTCTACTTTTCCTTTCAGTTTCCTTATACCTGTTTGTGCCTTTCCTAACCTGCGGAATATATATTTTTTTGAGCTTCTAGGATCATAGTTTTAAATAGTTTCCAAGCTTCCCCAATGGTTTTGACCCTTTCTACTTTTCCTTTCAGTTTCCTCCCCACATGTCCCCTCATATCAGAGAAGTTACCTCTTTTAAAGTTAACAGTGGTTGTGTCAGTCTTTTTGGCCAATTCCCTATTTATACAAATGCTGAACTCAACAACATTATGATCACTGTTCCCAAGCGGTGCAATCACTTTTACATCTCTCACCAGGTCTTGAGTGTTACTTAGGACCAAATCAAGGATCGCCTCTCCCCTGGTAGGTTCCGTGACCACAACTTTTGACAACTGTGCTTTTGAATAAGATTCCCACTGCGGTCTGGAGAAATGTCATATACAGAGGCGGGAGCCAAGATGGAAGGATGGAGAGTGAAAAGGAGAGGCCGACAAACAAGCTACAGTTAGCAGGCTGAAGGTAAAACACCTTCTGGAGTGCAGAGGTCTCTGTCTATGCCCCTGGTGCTAAGCAAGAGGTATATTGTTGGGAAAGAGCACCTCTCTGCTCCCACCTGTGTTCTGTTCATACATTCGCAAATAACGAAAACGTTGCTGAGATGCTGTACGTTTCTATACAAAAGAAACTAAGTTCTGGATTGCTGTTGCTAGAACGCTGCACCACTTGGGAGCACACAACGATAAAACCTTAAACCCTTTCCCGATGCCAGCAACGGATCATAGCGCCCAGTTCCCTGTTCAGGATCTTGGAACGCTGCCTGGACTAAACTTGACAAAACAAAAACAGAAAGGTCTCCAGCCTCCGAAGAGAAATCCACTGCCCCACAACCACTACACTTCTCTCTCTCTCCACTATCACAGACGTAACATAAGCACCACAGTCCCAAGAAGAAACCTGAGCCACTGAGCCAAGAAACACTGCATCCCTTCCTATGTATCCTAACCATTGTAGCTCCTAAATCAGCAGTAAAATAAGTTTCACATAAGCCCAAGAAGTCACACCAATATGCTGGGGAGATCTCATTGGAGCACATACAGTATTAACTCAAATATAAGAAATCCCAAAGTGAAAAAAGAGGACGGGTCATCTTACTGTTATATCCAATGATGAAATCTTTTTGGACGGCGACATTTTATATGGGTGATCGTCTTCCTATGAGTTAATATGGTACATTCCGTGTCACAAGCTTCAATGCATTTCACAAAAAACTATCTTGCAAACTGTTGCTGCTTTATTGGCACAAAGTGTTGCGATGGCCACTAGTGGACATCTTTGAAGGGTGAAGAAAGATACCTTTGTAGCTATAACAACAAATACGTTCAAAGAGAAAAACTACCTCAGCACGGGCAGTTATTAGGAAGGGGATTGGAAATGAGGTTGCCAGTATTCCAAATACCTCTGCATAAATCTATGGTGCAACCACGTTTAGAGTACTGTGTACACCCATGTTAACAAGGATATCATCACAGTTCTGGAGGACAACCAAAGCCTCTGTGGTGTAGTGGTTAAGAGCAGCAGGGTCTAGTTTGGAGAACCAGGTCTGATTCCCCATTCCTCTTCCCCATGAAGCCTGCTGGGTGACCTTGGGTCAGTCACAGTTCTCTCAGAACTCTCTCAGCCCCACCTACCTCAGAAGGTGTCGATTGTGGGGAGAGGAAAGGAAGGCGATTGTAAGTTGTTTTCAGACACCTTAGGATAGAGAAAAAAGTGGGGTATAAACACCAAATTCTTCTTCTTTAAAACCATTCCTACAAGGAATGCCACAGCATTTAGAGCTTCTTAGTTTAGAAATAGAATAAAGGGAGACCATGACGGAAATTAATAAAATTCTGAATTATACAGAGATTCTCCCCCCCACACCCCACCCTTGCAGCAACACAAAAATTGAGGTTACCCAGTGAATTTATTTACACCCTGCCTCTCTCCCCAATGGGGACCCAAGTTGGTTTAGGTCATTCTCCTCTCCTCCATTTTATCCTTACAACACCCCTGTGAGGTAGGTTAGGCTGAGTGTGCACGACTGGCCCAAGGTTAGCCAGTGAACTTCCATGGTGAAGTGGAGACTCAGACCTGGATCTCCCAGAACCTAATCTGACGCTTTAACCACTACCTGACCCTGGCTACTCTGCAGGTCCCAAAAACGTGGGGATGGAAAGAACTTTTTGAAAAGTGTCCATTACTATATTATTTTTCTT